CTGCAAAACAGGCTTATCTTAGTTTTTTTGTCTTGTTTCCAGTCAAAATATCTAAAAATTCTTAAATCAAGAAGGATTTTCTAGACAAGTAAAAATAATCTTGTTTTCTGTTTGAAATAAGATTATTTTGCTTACCCCATTGGCAGATTATTTTGCTTGTTTCAAGCAAAAACTCACTTAAATCCGACTTGTTTTTTTCTGAACACAAGACAATCATTTTTACTTGTCTAGAAAATCCTTCTTGATTTAAGAATTTGTAGATATTTTGGCTGGAAACAAGACAAAAGATCTAAGCTAGAAAAGCATTTTTTGCAGTGTGTTTCTGTGTTTACCATATGATGTGTGATGTGCTCTATGTATGTGTGTTTATATGTGAATAAATCCTAAAATAAACCTGTTCATCATATAGAGTTCGCATCTCTTTACAAGACTTGGATTAAACGGCACAATTCATATGGATTCATTTTATGACACCTTTAGGACCTTTTTGGATCTTCTAAGTTTTTGTTGCCTGGACTTTCAATTGAGGGGCAGAAATCTCTCAGGTCTCATTAAAAATATCTTCATCTGTGTTTCAAGTCTTATGGGTTTGGAACAACATGAAGGTGAGTAAATGATGACAGAATTTTCAGATTTATGTGAACTATCGCATGCAGTTAGGTTTTGAGATTTCAGCGGGGTGTTTTATTCTTTCTCTTTTGAACTCTGATCAATTAAGCAACTTTTACAAATTCTTTTCAGACGTTTGGAAACCATATTTGAGGTGCCTCTTAACCGGCGTGATGGCTCTCAGGCTGTCGTGGGCCAAAAAAAGGTGAAGCGCTTTGTCGAATTCCCTGAACTGGGTGTTGCCAGGAAGCCCAAGAAACCTCTGGTCAGTATAATGGCGGGGGCTGGAGCACAGAGGAACGCTGGGTTCTGTAGAACCAGACGGGGTGTCGGGGTCTCTTCCAGAGTGGAGGATGGCTTCACCTTGCAGCAGCTGGAGTCCCTCCTTTGCTCCAAGCTTGAGGAGTTGGACACCTGGATGACACTGCAGCAGGTTGCGGGCTGAGGCAGAGGTCTTGATTGTTCTGTACCGAACAATGGGCTTTGTGTGTATTATGTTCAAATTTACTGTAAATTTGTCAAATCAACAATAAATAGACTTGCAGAGCTGTAAAATGTTTTTGATTACTTATGTACTGTAAAGATCTTAAAAATACATCACTTTCTTTTTATATTTTGCAAGGTAATGGCATTTATTTGTAGATTGGACTGATGTAACAAGAAACAACTCTGTTTTGTCTTTTTATAACCATTCAAAGCAAGCACTTGTTTACTATAATCTGTGGCATATGTTTAAGATATCTCTAATTCCTCCTCACCACATCTCCGTATCAGAAAGTGTTTCAAAGTAAGAGTCACCAGGTCACTCGTAAACCATTCCTCTCTCAGTATATTCCTCTTTTAAAACATTTAAACTTCTTTGGTTTAAATGAATGCCTTATTAATACACTCTCAGGATGCCCTGTGTGCTTCATTATAAGGGAGATGGCACAAAGGCCTTTGAGTGACAGCATTGAAAGTTTGCATTGTTCGGTTTGAAATTATGCTTTATACTTCTCATCTAGAAGCATAAAGGATTTAAAAGTTTAATGCATTCCTTTCTTTTACTCAGGCACTCTAAATATAGTCCATTCACTTAATTTAGTCTTTCCGTATCAGAAAGTGTTTCAAAGTAAGAGTCACCAGGTCACTCGTAAACCATTCCTCTCTCAGTATATTCCTCTTTTAAAACATTTAAACTTCTTTGGTTTAAATGAATGCCTTATTAATACACTCTCAGGATGCCCTGTGTGTTTCATTATAAGGGAGACGGCACAAAGGCCTTTGAAGTGACAGCATTGAAAGTTTGCATTGTTCGGTTTGAAATTATGCTTTATACTTCTCATCTAGAAGCATAAAGGATTTAAAAGTTTAATGCATTCTGTGCTTTTACTCAGGCACTCTAAATATAGTCCATTCACTTAATTTAGTCTTTTGTTTATCTTTGATGTAGTGATTTATAATACTGTTTGTGGTGTTTGAACATGTTGAATGATTAGTGTAAACTTGTTTGATAGATGTCTGCGTTCTGTATTTATAATAGAATACGATTGAACTGTTTTGTATTTTAGTGTTTTGTCGAGTTGTTTGTAAGACGTTTACAATGAGCAGATGCATTTTGACTGCTACACATTTTATTACAAAGCCTGAAATACATGCAGTGTACAAAATATCAAAAGCACAAAGTATTGAAACAGTACGACTTCTTTAAAAAAACAGAATGTTAAAAATGTAACCACATCCGTATCTCAACATTTGAATGTTATGCTCTCTGTGAGTGTCTCAATGTTTCATTTCCAGTTTGCAGTAAGAGCATAAATAAAACCAGCTTGCTGAAGTGTAGCAGTAGCTTCTGTCTGGACGGATGGTTTTATCCATGGCTCCATCTCATGCATGTAACAAATTCCTGAAAGTTGCTGTACCATTTTTAACTACCTGCATTGGCTTAATTGCAGTGATTTAATTGCAATGCAAATATTGAGCTGTTGAATCCTCTTATATTATGGGTAGGACGTTGTGAACCTTTGATCCAGACTAAGGACAAGCACCTTTCGAAACCCACAGTGAATTTAAATAATGACCATTATTGACCAACCTATTGCCATCAAGTAACTTTTTTGGATAGTCTAGATCAGTGGTTCCCAAACCTGTCCTGGAGGACCCCCTGCCCTGCACATTTTGTATGTCTCCCTAATCAGACACACCCAATTTAGTTCTTGCAGTCTCTACTAACGAGCTGATGAGTGGAATCAGGTGTGTTAGATAAGGGAGACATACAAAAGGTGCAGGGCAGGGGGGCCTCCAGGACAGGTTTGGGAACCACTGGTCTAGATGCAGTGTCCAGTGTGAGCAATGAAAGAGTTTGTTTCTGCACTCTTACAGTTCATTTGCTTTGGTTGCTCATTTAACTGTAGAAATGCTTCTTCAGTGTCAGTCTATGAGGGTTACAACATAGGACAGAAATCCCATCAGCAATGGAAAGATGAGAATTAAAACCACCCAGGCTACAATGGACCCAATACCCCATTTACACGCCTTTTCTGAGTATTTCTTAATCATCTCTCGTGTTTCTGGACAATCTTCGTTTTGAAGTCTTTTTCTTGTCTCTCGGGCCTGAAAAAATGAGGAAAGGTGTCAGATTTAGATTCTTAGATTATATTAGTGCATGCATACGTTTCTTTCATCACTGACTACAGTTAAGTTTCATGGTACTATTTTGTTTCATTGTGTCTCGTCTAAACAGTATCTATTTTACTGGCAACAGATCTTAGCTGAGAGTCTTTTGAAGTTATGTAGGATAAGTATATAAGATAAGAACAAACAAAAACTTTTAATAAATAAGGTTCTCATGAAAATAAGCTTACTTAAGGAAGCCAATTGAAGTGTTTATTTTCATTTCACATCTTGAGTTTGTCTGCACTCAGATCTTTGATTGCATGGGTGGGTTACTAAATGTAAATAAATAATTCCTATTTAAGTTTAAAAATAAGTTTAATTTTACATAGAGCTTAGTACTTATTACAATAGTAGTGCAGTAATACAATTGTACAGCACTGATATTTCAATAATACTGAAATAATAATCATAGTTACCTTGACGGAGTACATAAGGGACATAATTCCAAGACAGGAGAGGCCACATATGATGCTGCAAATGGCTAATTTGCGATGGTCTTTGTCCTTACAGATGTCCTGACAGGCGACACTGCGCGAGTCAGCCCTCGGCTCAGGCTGTTCAAGTAAAGCATTATCAACTTTCACTTCTTGTAGATCGTTCGCACACATCTCTGTTCAAAGTAACAAATAACAGTGTAAATATAGGGGAGTCAGCATGGAAGTAATGGCGCATTACTGTATTTTGATGATTTTGTAGTCTACTTTATACTACAATGGTTACAGTGTAGTTCAAGTTCTGTCTGAATCAAGTTGTAAACATCTACCAGTGAATTAGTGAGCCAAGCGGTGATTTATAACAAGCTGGTTTAACTGGTTCTTTACAGTGATTTTTTGCTTTCAGTTTTAATAGTAATAGGGGTAATTAAAAAATATATATAGGCCTATATACACACCAAAAGTGCAAGAATATATGTATATTGGAACAATATAAATGGGGTTTTCCAACATCCTCAAAGTATTTAAGGTGAAGTGAGTTTCTATTATCTCTTATTGTGCTGGGGCTTGAAAAACAGGTATGGACAGAGACAGAGTCATGTTGACAGTAACTGGCATCAGTATTACAAGAGAGTAATGACAGATCTCACTTGATAGTTTTGGTTAGACTCATTATAAATCGAAATCTCAGCAATGTAAAGTCTGCCTCCAGAAAGATGATTATTGAAACTAAAGATCTCAGTACTTACAGACTTGCCCAGATTTGATCTTGAGGGAAGAAGGGTCCAAAATTCCTTAGGTCAACCAGAAATTACCAATTCATAACCAAATACATTTGATGTTTTTGCTTGGAAAAAAAAAATTGGCTAGTGATCAGTACTCTGCTAATAACTCTTTCAGTTTATGTAGTGACAGAAGTTCTAGTGTCCTTTCACAAAGATGTCACATGTCGTTGTCACAACTTGACTCGAGATGACTTCCCATCCAAACTTCCTCTAATTGTCAATTATGTATGTGAAATATTTAGTACAGCTTCTTTAGCTCCAGTTTCGACCTCTGAGGAGGCAGAGTCTGAAAGAAATGCTTTGAACCACTTACTTACAACAGTGACAATGAAACACCACACCTCCAGTTTTTTTTCAATGTTCCCTCCCACTTTTTCTTATCCACTCCAGCTCGAAGTACTTCTTCCACTCACATTCTTTAGGTCTTACGTTTATCTGTCTATTTACCACACCTTGTTGCCCCTGTGAATCATCAGTAGCTTGTGCAGACTGTAACACAGAAGCTTTGACTTCATGACACACTGTCTACTATTACTCATTTTCTCCATCACTGTTTCTTTCTCTTTCTATTTACGCAATCACAACCTCACAAGAATCAAGTTCTTGGCAAGTAAGCTGAGGCCCCTGCAGGGCTTGTGTTTGTAAACAGAGATTGCATGTGTTAAAGGGGTCATATGATGCGATTTCAATTTTTCCTTTCTCTTTGGAGTGTGTGTTTTGTTGTGAAAGCGAAACTACTTTGTTTGGCCTTTCAAAAGAAGACGATAATCCGCTTCGTCATGCCTAGAGCTGATCCGTGCTGGTCGCTGAGGAAATACATCAACTTTGCGCTGTGGATCGCCAGATCGGCTTTCACCGTGGACGAAGCTGAGTCCAGCCCGGGGTCGTCACATGTGGTTGCCGCAAGCCCTCCGGCCTCCGCTCACTCAAGCCGCCGGCTCTTTTGGAAGGACACGACTAGAAATCAGTGGTTAAGTTGTATTTAAAACACTGTTCCAGAACAGTTCAACCCAAATATTAAGATGTGTGCAGCATTTTATGGAGGACTGTTTCCTGATCCTGGGAAAGTTGACTACAATGCCGGCTGTTCTGACTCATGAACTGTAAGTACATTTTCATTTAAAGGATTTGCCACTGATGATTCATACGCGAGTTTTGAGCAGTGCGATTAGCTTTGTAAAAATCGACGCGTTTCAGAAAGGCGGGGCATAGAGGAGAAACAATAATGTACAGTATGTGGAAAATAATGTGTTTTTTGAACCTTAAACCGCATAAACACATTTCATTACACCAAATACACAAAATAATGTTCTTTTTAGCAACATCATATGACCCCTTTAAATCTCTTAATTGTACATAAGTGTTGGACAGCTGCATGATTTGCAGACTCTCATGTTTCATGAATATTCTTTGACAGATTAACTACTGTTTCTGATTTTCTTCCTTTTGAAAAAACTTAAATAGTAGACAGGACCTGTGAGTTAGATTTTTCAGCTGCCATGTTCAAGGCCATGTGCAGGTATCACTTGATACATCAACTCCAAATATGAAATATCAATATGAAATAAAAAAAATATCAACTCCATGTGTCCAAATATGGAGAAACTCACCTCACTTGTATGTTTTTTTTCTCTAGAATTAAAAAGATTTATTTACATCAGTGGTTCTCATCCTTACTGACTCCAAGTTTCCCCATTGTCCCCAGCAATATTCAATGGCCCAGTTGTTTGTGATTTACTTGATGAGAATTTAAAAACATGCTAATTGTACCTGATAAAATTATTTAGAGCTGGGCTGAGCTCTAAATATTCAAAAATGTATAAAATGTCCATGGAATTGTAAGATTTTATTAATTTTACATGACTTTTTCAAGTCTTGAAAAATAACCTTTTTATAATTAGACCATTTCACATCTATATGATGTAATAAAATAACATTTTTGTTGTTGTTTTAGCTTATAAAGCTAACTTTTATTTAGCTAATAAAAGTAGCTGTAGTAAATAGTAAAATTTGTGCTGTGGCAATCTTTTGACATACCTCATAGCACATCACCTTCTGCTAGAATGATCGCCACTTATCCCAAGAATAAAACAAAACAACAAAAAAAAACATAATGGACTCTCTGATGCTTCAATATATTTCAGTGTAATTGTTTGTCAGTTTTGCTTTGACTTGTTGTTCTGTAATTGTCTCTATCAGACACTCAAACACACACACACTAACACTGGCTTGTGAAGGTCAACTATTCTGGGTTGAGCTGCCACATTAACAGCGAGACAGACACTGAGGTCAGGAGGGGCCAGACAGCTTAAAAAACAAACACTGATTAATTCTCTCCTACTTGTTTTCCTTGTTAATTTAATTAAAAGAAAGAAAGAAGAAAAATTGCAGCTGCATGAATTTATAAAGAACAATATATTTGTTTACAAACAAAATTAAACAAAATGTAATATTCACAAACAAAATTAAATAAATCATTGTGTATGAAAACCACGCAAATTAGGAAATTAAGAGAACAAACCACTACAGCCTTTATAGACAGTCATACGCAGAGAATCTTCTCACTTTATTTTATTAATTTTTTTAATTGCATAACATCTAACAAGAACAGTAACATAACATACATATATATATATATAGAGGATGACAGTGTTTTCAACTATTCTAAATTAAATTACATTCATAATAGCATCAAAGGAACAAACAGAAAAAAAAGAAAGGAGAAAAAAACTACAGGGGATAACTTACATTTACATTTAGTCATTTAGCAGATGCTTTTATCCAAAGCGACTTACAAATGAGGACAATAAAAGCAGTCAAAACTAACAAAATAGCAACAATATATACCGGTAAGTGCAAATGACAAGTCTCGGTTAGCCTAACGCAGTACATGTAGCAAGGTGTATATATATTATACACACACACACACAAAGAAAAACAAGTAGATAGAATAGAAAAAATAGAAAGCTAGTGTTTGTTTGTTTTTTGTAGTTTTTTTTAAATAAAAAAATAAAATAAAAAAAGAAGATAAATATAGATAAAGTAGAATTAAAATAGAATAGAAAGTGTTAGAGTTAGAGAGTCAAATAAAGGTGATAACTTACAAGAAATTTCCATAAGAAAAGGATTCAAAAATTCTATACATCCTTTTTGCTTTTTTATTTATCCACCTTTTTCTCCAACGCGGAAGTAAACCTACGGGCAAGACTTCCGGTTCATTAGCTGCTAACGAGAATAACAAAGTGCAGTAAACCGTAAAACTGTTTGCATTATAAACCAGTGTGTTCGTAATTAAGACAACACATTCAAATAATATGGTAAGACACACCAATTTTCAATATCAAGCAGCAAAACGAGCGGTTCTGTAAAGCTAAAACTAGCTGGACGCGGATGAGACCGGAAGCCAGACCCATAGAATTTACAAATGGTCGCGCCCAGTTTTACGGGAAGAAAACTGCCTACGTAAAATTCCACGAGCCAATCAGAAGTCGTGACATGCTCATGACGTAGCGATACAGTCTAAACACGGAAGAAAAGATACGTGGGCGAGGTGGGCGATTACAATAAAATACTGAAACGCAATCAGAAACTCGTTTACGTTATAGTCATTTTAGTCCTTAGCATGCTAAACTGCATAGCGTGACATCATATAGAAAACATTTTTGCATTCAAATATATAATTGATTAAATAATGTTCATAAGGTGCAAAGTGTGAGACTGCTGTTACAGTTGAGAGTGTGAAAATTCAAAGACCTGAAGGTATTGTTTTTTTTGTTTTTTTGTTTTTACTTCGCTCGTTTTAATGCACACGTGTTAACTGATGTGCAGATGGAAGAGATGGAGGACTGTGAAGGGGTGATTGCCACAGAGCGTTATGGCTCACAGGAGTCATGGAAATACCTGTTGAAGGATGGGAGGATGAAGAGACAGAAGGATGCACTGGACGGCAGACTGGCGGGAAATTCAATCTCTGGCGTGTTTAAAGTGCGTGACTGACACAGAAAAACACGAAAGTCTCTCAGATCCTATAAATAAACTCTCTGAGACATCACTAACATGCTCTCTCCTCTCCCAGAGTGTTTTCCTGCCACAGGGCTATCCTGAGAGTGTCAGTGAGGATTACATGCAGTATCAGCTCTGGGACACTGTGCAGGTACAGGTCCTGTAGATCTGACACTTGTACTGCTGAAGTTTCTTTTATTTTGTTTTTCGGGGGAAAATTCAGTAGCCAAACATAAACATTAAAACATTTGGGCAAACTTATAAAAAAGAACCAATAATATTGCAGAAGAAATGCAAAAAAAATACAGTTAAGTGTTTTCTATTTAAATATATTTTCAAATGTAATTAATTATCTTTAGTGTCACATGATCCTTCAGAAATCATTCTAATATGCCGATTTAGATTTAAGAAACATTTATTATTATTATCAGTTTTGAAACAGTTGTGCTGCTTGATATTTTTTTTCAGGGTACTTTGACGAATAGAAAGTTCAAAAGAACAACATTTATTTGAAATAGAAATAGTTTGTAACAATAAAAATGTATTTACTGTTACTTTTGATACATTTAATCTATCTTTCAAAGTACTAATTTCTTTATAAAAAAAACATCTAATTGACCCCCCTGATAGACATACTGTATATATATATATATATATATGTATATATTGGCATCATAGCACCGTCTTTTGTTTTCCAAGGCATTTTCCAGCTCTCTGTCTGGCACACTCGCTACTCAGGCTTCACTGAGGGGTGTTGGGGTTGGAAATCAAGAAGCAACAGTTGCAGCAGCTACAATAACATGGCTGCTAAGGGGTATGTGCACAAACTACTGATTGTACTGATTTCTTATTTTTTAAATGCATGCTTTTCTAACCCTTTTCTCCTTCTTTGCTCAGATGGAACAGGGATGCTGGGAAGAATACTTTTTGCTTGGCTCAAAGGGTAATATTTGACCCACCATTCAGATTGTGAAGATGTTTTGTTTTTGTTGTACTTAATTGTGACCTTGTATTTCAGGAGCAAGTTAGATTCTGAAGCCAAAAAATGGAGGTACCGTATACTAGACTTAGACTTTAATGTTTTAGTTTGAATAAACATTTGAATGTAATACTTTTCATAAATATTTTACATAATAATGTCTTATTTGTCTTTTCAGGCTCTTCGCTGACATTCTTAATGACGTGGCAATGTTCATGGAGATTGCAGCCCCTCATTTCCCTCCTTTTTTCACTCTTATTGTCTGCATTGCTGGAATATTTAAGGTAAA